CATGTAACATCAGGTCTTTCATGTAATCGGGTGAGACATGGGATATATAAAGAACAGAATTTCTCGCAGACGTATTTTGATGTTGGGAATAGTTCACTGTTTTTAGTATGTACTCTGTCAATTTTCGTGTTGTTAAGCGGTGTCGTGAATAGTAGATTAATCGATGCAATAGGATAAAGTAGTGTGTGAAGTTAAAAACAGCGCGATCTAATTTCATTTCAGTTCTTTTAATACCATGCATATTACGAGCGTCATTTAACAGAGACTTGGGCAAGTGACGTAACGTGAAGTTTCCTGACTCGTTCAGATTATCAAAATATGGCATAGCTGCAGATGCTATAATTTCGTAATGTCTGTTGCAATCCCATCCACCTTTTTTCTTGGTAATTGCAAAATACGCATTCCTGTATCGCCGCTTATATTCAGCCTCGTTACCAAATTGAAATTCGTATGTGGTAAGATCGCCTGGTATTAATCTGCTAAAATCTCTACTTTTCTTGGGTATACACGTTTCATTCACCACCTGACGTTTATCCTCGTAGTAAACTGTACGAGAAATTGTGTCCAGCAGGTATGTTTCGATGAAGCCAAATGCTAATGGGAAATAATTAACCGTGAATGGCTGTCGAAGAAATGAAGATCCACTACTAATATTACTGTAAGTACATGTTTTGGGCGGCGGATATTGCGATATCAATTGATTGGTTTCGTTATCTAGCCCTTTGTCGATAGCAATGTGAATGCGTTGTTCGGGCGATAAATGTTCGCCATGTATGGCAGCACATAAATTCATACAAGTAACAACACACCACGGCTCTATACACGGAAAGTTTACTTCACTGTACTTCTGACTTCGTCGATCAATTACATGACCTTTCTTTGACCCTGTTTGAAGTTGTGCTGATTCCTCATATGTATCTTTTTCTATATAAATCACAAGCAGACGCATCATTAAAATTACTATTACGCCACAACCGACGATTCGGCGTAACTCTAGATGTCACAAAAACAATGATTATCCACTGTACATACAACGGTTTATAGCTTTCTTACTGCTAGTTCTTTTGTAATGCACCATTGGATCAAGTTCTATTCAACAGTTTCAAATCTACTTAATTAGCTTCTCTACATAATGGTCACCGGAATGTTCAGAGCACAGCCACGTAGGATATTCTAAATTACACTGTACCATTTTTGGAAGATTTTAAGGTTCGAGCACAATCTGATTTTAACGAAAACTTTTCAATTTCCTTAAAATGGCTCTAGCCCACCGGAGTATAGTTCATGCTAGTTGCTTTACCTTCCACTATCTATTGGTTTTATATCTGGTTAGTTATCCTTGTCTTTTAACTGACACTTGCATCCCTAGCTTATTTTTATCTACCTATTCTTAGTCCTGCCCTTAATATATCCTTAGCTGCCTATATCTAAGTCTGCTCAATACCATCCACTCGAATTGTAATTTTAACTTTATCCTAGACAGAATTCGTTTACGTCTATCTTTATCTTTACGTCACATCTCATTTTGGCGTCTACTTTAACTAGTATAGCCATTTTTGTACGGTAGGAAGTTGCGGAATATTCTGCCATATCAGATTATCATTCGATTTATGTAAAAAAGATAATATTAGTGAGAAATTGAAATATTATAAGTCAAATTAATGTTGATTCAAAGAATTTCAGTTGATTACTATTTTCTTTTTCCGACAGAAAAATCGAATTATGATTGGGATGTGGTGGAGATATAATCTTACCCCCTGACAGCACTCACGCTCAGGTCTTTCAGAAGCTGGAAGTCAAAATTTTTCAATATATCTACAAATGTAAAGATGAACTTGTTTTTAAATTATCCGAAAATATACCACATTTCTATTCATAGTAATCAATTTTCAAGTCACTGCTAAATTAAATGAACTTAAATTCAAATAATATGGAAAAGGAGGTTTTTCGTGCTTCTATCCATGCTTAAAAGCAATATATTTTTAGTTGATTGAGTTTTCAAGCGATATTTGGGACAATTTCTCTGATATACGGCTGTATGTTTGGCACGATTTTTTCTCATCTAATAGATTATTCTTATTCTGTACGTTCTGATATACTTTGATATGACACCTGCTTGCGTTCCCTTCCGTGATAGCAAGTATATCAACGCGTGTCTTGTATCAAAATGATGTAATGCGCGAGGAAGAAATGAATAAAGGCATAGTTTCATCCAGACATGGGCAGGTCAAATCGAAATTTTTCCACATATGCGTAGGCGTTTTGAACGTTTTAGTATGAAATTTAGACTTCAAATTGGCCAGAACTTCCGAACCAAAGACGATAGACTAACTCGTAGAGTCAATTAGCATCAGAGATGGAAAGTCAAGCATATTTTCGACTTGAATCAAGTTAAATCAAAGTAAGCCATGTGACTTGTGACTTGACTTGATTTGGGTCAAAAAGTTGACGACTTAACCATGTGTGGTTTCATCAGCGCATACATCTCTTCCGTCTAAAATCGTTGCACCTGTGAATTTATATTAGATCTGCTCACTTGGAAGCTTTGGTCACCAGTTTTTACATTTCACCAACAATCACCTCAAATGAGAATTAAACTTGGGATGCATCTGTGGTAACCTGATTCGAGGTAAATGACAACCTAGTGCTCAATCCTGTATTTTGACGATTGACTGGTTGGACGNGCATCATAAAAAAAGTCCTTAAAAAGGTCTGCTAACACCTGATAAACTTCGTCAGCGAGAGTCCACTGTACGAAGAGCTTTGAATGGTGACTTTCCCGCATAGGTATCTGCCCCCGACCCTCCTCTAACGAATGGTGAAAACCGCAGGTCTAAATAACTTTCCAATCAAAAGTTACAAAGATTTCTTCCACCTGCCTTTTATAAAAATTTCGATAGTAGTCGACAGAAGCGCAAAAGATCGACGGTATCATTATTTATGTCGCACTCGATAATAGTTTAATGGGATGAACAAGCACATTTATCTACTTCAGCATACTTCATGGGAATGCACGCGCACTTAAGGGGAGATATAAAGACTTCAGAATTGCTTGGGCAATTTCGGATACGTTAACCTACTTTCACGTCTTACACCCTGCTTTGAGCAGCGCATCACAATCGTAAATCGCAAATTTTTTGTGATGCATGAGGTTGTAGCTATATTTTGACGCTGCTTATGAGGCCAAAAGTGAACAACAAAACTAATTCGGAGCGCGTTAATCTATGTACGACGTATCACTCTTCATTTCCGTAGATTTTCCTCAACAAAGTGGACCAAACTGACTAAGGTTTTTAGTACGAGGATTAACGGCCGATCATGGCCGTTAATTACTTTCTCAAGTGGGTACGTCAGGAAAAACAGAGTATTCGCGTTCCACACTGTAAATTAGACTTTTAAGTATTGAAACAGATAGTTACTAAGAAAATTTATTGCAATCATCTGGTATCTCTCTTAAAAAATACATTGCATGTCTTGCATAATGTGACCTTCGGATGTCTTTCATTTCGTCCTCACCATCGATTACAATGATTTTGTATTGTTCGTAGTATTGAGTTACGAAATCGAAAAATCTGTTTTCCCGAATTATGGATCCAAATACTATCAAATCGTATTTACGACGCAGGATATGTTGCTTCACAACTCGTTCGCTTGATAGTTCAGCTTTGTCTCGTCTCCAAAGATGTTCATAATTTCTCAGAGATAGAGCGTATCCATACCCCAATCCGTAAAGTGCTTTTCTGTAGTATTTCTGAGTGCTGTTAAACGTCCACGTATTTTTAAATGAATACTTATACATGAACTCGGGTGGTTCATAAACATGTAGATTCTCTTTAAATATCAATGTAAAGCCATGTAACATCAGGTCTTTCATGTAATCGGGTGAGGCATGGGATATATAAAGAACAGAATTTCTCGCAGACATATTTTGATGTTGGGAATAGTTCACTGTTTTTAGTATGTACTCTGTCAATTTCCGTGTTGTTAAGCGGTGTCGTGAATAGTAGATTAACCGATGCAATAGGATAAAGTAGTGTGTGAAGTTAAAAACAGCGTGATCTAATTCCATTTCAGTTCTTTTAATGCCATGCATACTACGAGCGTCATTTAACAGAGACTTGGGCAAGTGACTTAACGTGTAGCTTCCTGACTCGTTCAGATTCTCAAAATATGGCATAGCTGCAGATGCTATAATTTCGTAATGCCTATTGCAATCCCATCCACCTTTTTTCTTAGTAATTGCAAAATACGCACTCATGTATTGCCGTTTATATTCGGCTTCGTCACCAAATTGAAATTCATATGTGGTAAAATCACCTGGTATTAATCTGCTAAAGTCTCTACTTTTCTTGGGTATACACGTTTCGTTCACCATCTGATGTTTATCCTCGTAGTAAACTGTACGAGAAATTGTGCCCAGCAGGTATGTTTCGATGAAGCCAAATGCTAATGGGAAATAATTAACCGTGAATGGCTGTCGAAGAAATGAAGAGCCGTTACTAATATTACGGTAAGTACACGTTTTGGGTGGCGGATATTGCGATATCAGTTGATTGGTTTCATTATCTAGGCCTTTGTCGATAGCAATGTGGATGCGTTGTTCGGGCGATAAACGTTCGCCATGTATGGCACCATATAAGTTCATGCAAGTAACGACACACCACGGCTCTATACACGGAAAGTTTACTTCATGGTATTTCTGACTACGTCGATTAATTGCATGGCCCTGTTTTGACCCCGTTTGAATTTTTACTGATTCCTCATAAGTGTCCTTTTCGATATAAATCACAGACAGACGCATCATTAAAACTACTATTGCACTGCAACCGACGATTCGCCATAACTCTAGATGTCACAAAAACAATGAGTATTCACTGTACATACAGCAGTTTATAGCCTTCACACTGCTTTTTCTTTGGTTATGCACCATTGGATCAAGTTCTATTGAAGAGTTTCAAATCTACTTCATTAGCTTTTCTACATATTGGTCACCAGAATGTTCAAAGTACAACCACGTAGGATATTCCAAATTACATTACCATTTTTGGAAGATTTTAAGGTTCGAGTACAATCTGATTTTAAGGAAACTTTTCAATTTCCCTAAAAATGGCTCTGGTCCTTCAGAGAACAGCGCATGTCAGTTGCTTTGCCTTCCACTATCTATTGGTTTTATGTTTGATTAGTCATCCTTGCCTTTTAACTGTCACTTACACCCCTAGCTTATTTTTAACTACATATTTTGAATCCTGCCCTCAATCTATCATTAGCTGCCTACATCTAAGTCTGCTCAATACCATTCACTTCGATTCTTAATTTTAACTTTATCCTAAACACAATTCTGTCACGTCTATCTTTATCTTTACAGTACATATCATTCTTGGTACCTACTTTGACTAGTGTAGCCATTGTTCTAGAGTAGGAGGTTGCGAGATATCGTACCATATCAGATTATCATTCGATTTTTGTGAACAAAGATAATATTAGGAAGAAACTGAAATATTCTAAATAAAATTAACGTTGGTTCAAAGAATTTCAGTTGATCACTATTTTCATTTTCCGACAGAAAAATCGAATTATGGTTAGGATATAATGGAGATATAATCTTACCTCCCTGACAGCATTCACGCTTAGGTCTTTCAGAAATAAGGAGGTGAAAGTTTTCAATATATTTACAAATGTATAAACTGACTTGCTTTTAAATCATCCGAAAATATAACACATTTTTACTGGTAGAAATAAATTTTGAAGTCACTGCTAAATAAAATTAACTTAAATCCATATATGAAAGGGAGCTTTGTCTTATTTCTATCCATGCTTAAAAACAATATATTTCTAGTTGATTGAATTTTGACGCGATATTTGTGACAATTTCTCTGATAAACAACTGTAGGCGTGACACGATTTTTTCTCATCTAATAGATTATCCCTATTCTGTACATTCTGATATACTTTGATATGATACCTCCTTGCGTTCTCTTCTGTATGGGCGAGTATATCAACGCGTGTCTTGTATCAAAATGATTTCATGCACGAGGAAGAAATAAATAAAGGCATAGTTTCATCCAGACATAGGCAAGTCAAGCCCAAAACTTTTACACATATGCGTGGATGTTTTATACATTTCAATATGAAATTTAGATTTCAAATTTGCTAAAAATTCCAAACTTAAGACGATAGACTAACTCATAGAGTCAATTAGCATCAGAGATGAAAAGTCAAACATATTAACGACTTGAATCGAGTTAAATCAAAGTAAGTCAGGTGACTTGTAACTTGACTTGACTTGGGTTCAAAATTTGATGACTTGCCAGTGTGTGGTTTCATCAGCGCATACATCTCTTCCTTCCAAAATCGTCGCACTTGTGAGTTAAATTAGACCTGGTCACTTGGAAGCTTTGGTCACCAGTTTTCACATTACACCAACAATCACCTCAAATGGGAATTAAATTTGGGATGCATCTGTACTAACTCGATTCGAGGTAAATGATAACCTACTACTCAATCCTGTATTTTGACGATTGACTGTCTGGACGAATTTCGTCTTCTATTCGCAATTTCAATCGGTAGTCGTATTTTTTGAAATGACGGCTGTACCTCTAGACCCTGGTTTTCAGAGGCTTTAGTTTGGTATAATATTCATTATGTACCCATTTCAAAATTGCAGCATTATCTCCTATCATAAGCTTATGTGCAACTCCGTGGAGTGACTTTACTGAAAAATGCATTAATTGATTTCTAGACGTTCTCTGTAATTTTTGCGCAATATTTTATAATGTGTTCCGATAAAAAGTCGAATGAAATGCTTCAATTCATTCCAATTTCGATCATTAATTAGGCGATCAACATATTGATAAACGTAAAACTCGTCTAAATCGATCATTTGTTCTGGTTTAACGTAATGATAACTGCTTGGTTCCTTCTCGGACAAAGCTTCAGTTAACCCAAATTCCTGAATAGTTTTATCAGGTGTATTTCTCCAGAATCCAGGTACGATTGTCATATTGAATCCTAAATGAAATATTAGACAAGATAAAGCCACATCAGATTGTCCAGAAGACGTATGATTTGGTTGCGGCCAGATCGAATTTACGTATTGAAACAGATGTGGATAAATAGCGTGCACGAGAGCCGCACTATACACATGTGCTGTATTACCTCCGACAAACAGACTTTTGTACGTCGTTCCATTCCGATGAAAGCAGATCTGAGTTCCAACTGAACCCCCAATAAAGTGTGGTATTTGAAAATCGTAAGCATCAAGTCGTTTCAGTAGATGTGGCACGTTTACATATGTATCGCAGCCAACTAAAAAATACCATTTGTGGCGTGAAGATGCAGGAATAGATAACTGAGCTTTATATATGAGCTCTAACCCATAAAAAATCTTTTTGGTATTTGATTGATAATCTTCGCCGGTATTATTTGTGACAGTGATAGGTAAACTAGGATCAGGAACAGAGCTCAGAAAATAATAATTAGTTACACGAGATATCCACGTGAGCCGTACGGCCTTTGCACGTGTCAGATAAAATGGAAACGCCGTGTATATGATGAATGCTATATCATTCTCACCATATCTTTTTGCTTTTTTCCAGCCACTCATTGGGTTGGGAATTTTCAGACAATAATTTCTAAGATGTATTGCGGAATGTGAAATATTCTTTACATCATTTTTGAAAAGTGGTTCTCTATAATCGCACACGAAACTGTTCTGTTCATCATTCTTCTCGACGATTGCACGGAGTGCTACCTGTTGTATGTTGGGATCAATTGAATAATTTGTTCTTATATGGTGAAGATACAAAACTGAAAATAAAGTCAACCCAAAAATTACCATTAATCTTGCTTGAAACCTTGCCATTTTTATTCAAAATAAACCTGCTTTTTTCAGATGGTGCGACGTTTATTTCGTGATATCCATGTGTTTTTGTTACTTTCATATAAAATTTTTTCGGACGCTTACGAAAGAATACAAATACAGAACGAAAACGCATTAAACGGGCAGTCACGACGAGATCCACATGTTACATATGTTCATCCGATTTTGCCTGTTCCACTGATACTGTGTATCGTACCATCGACGAAACTTAGCCGTGAAAAGGAATCAGACCTTTTGATATCCAGCAATTAGGCGCATAGATGCATTACGTCATTCCTAGCTAAAACAAACCCATTATAAACGATGAAGCTCGGATTTTTCTTTTAAATCAAAGAACTTTCATTCTCCGATTCGAACAATTTTCTTGTAGACACTATTAAGTGCCAATAAAGTGCTCCAATGTCTCATAGTGATCGGATGTATATGAATACATTACAACCACTTTTATTCCCTCTACTGAAAGGAGGGTATACACAGAATTTGAGTTTACGTTCGTTCGTCCGTTCGTTTTATTTCGTTCAAATAGTATATACCTGAAACACACGTGACCATCTTAAGGGTTGACCGAAGGGTAATCGGGGTCGAGGATCATGAATCCGGTGTTAGTTTTTTGATAAAAAGTTTCTGTAAGGTTTTTTGCGACAAAGGATCACTTTTAGCGAAAATNAACGGAAACAGTCGACACTCCGAAATGGCAAACTAAACAATAGATGAGCTGATCTTACATAATTTTATTCGAATAATTGTTGAAGGCTGTTACATGTATGTATAACTCCGTCTTTACACGAAAGACTTTTATGAAAAAAAAAGATTATACTATCCACAACCACCATTAGACAGCATTCTGAATTTTAAAAAATCAATTATTGACGTAAACTTCAAGATATGTCACGGTGCGATATAAACTAGATGAGTTTTGAGATGCTTTTGATTGAGCAAATGAGATACAGATACATACAGAATTGAGTAAGTCGGCTAAAAAACAAATTTGAATTCACAACAGCTGATCATTTGCACAATCGAGATGCTCAGCTTTGAAGTCATAAACTCGTTTCCTATCGGGATATCCATTTCTCGGTGCGCTCTCTAATTAGTCTGTCCGAAAAAGCCAATCTAAGCGCAAACTCGAAGTGAATGAACAAATAGTTTAATTGAAATAATGTGTCATATGAGAAAAGCTCAATAAGAAAAAAACAAAATGAAATCTCTTTTGTTTGATTTCATCAGAGTGTATTTGATATTAATAAGAAAAATAAATAGAAAATGAAGCAGATTGTGTCAATTTCGTTTATTTACAAATGAGATTATTTTAATATTGTCACATTTGAAACAATCAAAACATCATCAGATTTTAGTTTCACGAACTTTCACTGACTGACGAAAAGTTATTGTTTTACGATTCGATCGTTTCAATTATAAATAATTGAAAAGCATCGTTTTTACTCAGGATATGAGGTTCAAGCCAGAGCTAGGCAGCTCAAGTCTAAAAGATATCCAATTCAATTCAAATAGCATGGAAAAATCTTGCGACTCAATTCGGTCCAATTCATGAATCGAGTTGAATTGACTTAAATTGCGCTTCGAATTGTGCCATTTTCAGGCAAAACATGTACTTTTAATGGGTAGAAACGACAAGAATCATCATCTTCTACAACATACAAAGACATTCACGTATAGAACACGACTCTTTCTTTCGATCGAATTTTGTTAAAGAATTTTTAGTCTCTCTTAATGAATAGAAGATATTTTTGGATTGAGCTGCCCAGCTCTGGTTCAACCTTTATCGCAATAATATCACAACGTTTCCTTTGCTTAAAACTTTCATTTGATTTTGTCGTGTCGATAAAATATTATGAAATCAAATACTGAATATATTGATCAGTGACTTTCAAAACAATTCTTCCGTTTTGAATAAAAGGATATCGACTGCTCGAGCGGAAAGCGCTGCTTTCAGCTAGAATCATTCTGATAATTTCTCTAATGTAAAATTTCAAGAAGAGAGGAGACCGATTCAATATTTTTACAGATTCCATATTATATTATATATTAAATCAGTGTTCTTTTAGCACATTTTGGTTCCATGTATTTTTCTACAACAGCTGTTTTTATACTTTTGCGACTGAAACAGATAAAAGAAAACCTTTCGAATAATATTCTACAGATGAATACGATGAACATCCCTTTGACATAATAAAACACATGTCAATTGTTTTCAGCGATGGAGAGTTCACAACAGACTGATCTCGATTGGATATTTCATTATTTGATGAGATTTCTATTCTCGCTCAAGTTGGCATGAGCACTTTCTATTCTTCTGCTTTTGTTTTTCACTAAGAAAAACGTATATTGAACTTTGAAATGGCAGAAATAACTTCGCGTCANCGGATAAGACGACAAATTCAAGAATGAGTTGCTTTAGAAAGAAAATACGACACTGAAGAGGGTTTTTGGAGCGTTTTTCTCGGCTGGATTTTTTTGTACGCATGGCACAATAGAATGTCTTCATCAACTGACAAGCTTGGTCGATAGAAGGCGAGAAAAATGTGGTATTTGAAAAAATACTTGTGAATACAAATCGACAGATTTCGTTTTTGGTTTTAGTTTTTGCATATGATCTGGATACAAGATAAATAGTGTTACATGTTGAAACATTTGTTCCGATGACTGGAATCCAGATGAAGGATGCAAAGTTTTAGCATCTTTGAGAGGACGCTCTAGATTTTGATTCGCGAATAAAATGGCTTTATTTTACGAAGTTTGACTGGATTGAACAAAGAATAATGAAACTGAGACATATCTTCTGTATTATCTTCATACTATGTGCTCCGGCAGCACGTTGGTTATTTGGGTGTATTAATTCGGCCTAAAATACTCGGTGATCTGGAGACAAAGCTCGGTTGTTATTAGTTTTGCGAACGACTACGTTGAGGCGATTTTTGTAGTCAGGAAAAAATAATGTTTCAAATAGGTAGTATGATGAACGTAAGTTTTATTTAGTACATATTTATGGAGTTGATATGTATGAGATACCAAATGAGAATATACAAGGAAAACAAGTCTCTACGACATTTCACGATGAAATACATTGGTAATTGAAGCATTCAAACCAAAGAAAAAAGTCCACGACTTAAATATACTTTAAGTACGGCCACTTGTAGCAGTTTCAGCCTTCGTCTCATTGAAATCTTTTTCGTTTGACCGTAATTCACTCTATTCAAGAGAAATTAAGCAACAATAGTTTAATTAGAAACAGTTTGAGGATAGAAGAACATACCGTGCATTTATACACTCTTTTTTATTCGGCGCTGTTGTTGGTCTGATAACTTGTTCCATTTTATTAGTACATGCAGATTTGTTGTTCTTTTTCAAGACAGCTCCTTATGTTTTATTTGGCTTACTGATTTTGCTCTCTGCCCAAGGTGAATTACGGTAGGGTTCGCGTATTAAGGCTACTTGTTTGAAAATAAATTTAAATAGTTTTGTTGGTGTTTTTTTACACATTTTTCTCAATCGAAAAGTGTTTAAGTTTTTGGAAATGCAAAGTTTTACATTTATAGAAGAGTAATAAAAATAATTTCATTTCTTTGTCGATTATTTAGTTAGGAATAGTCGACTAAGATTTATTGAATACAAAAGTACAAATTGAATCAAATATCACTTCAAAACGAGTTTTGTTTACAAAAGCACAAAAATTTAATGCTTTTGAAAATCATAGCTAAGGTAATCTAATTGACTAATGACATAAAATCCATCGATTACATGTTGTTGTTTAAGTCCATATACTTCCTGAAAATCTGCTTTGACCGACTCATAGTACAAACGAAACAGTATCAGACCTAGAGGAATAAAATGCATTCGTTTTTACTTACTAGCAGAAGTTTAGTGCATTTCTTACTATCCTCAACCGTAAACGGAATTTTATGTGTAGATTCATTCTTAATTCGAATAACCGTCAATATGTTAATGGCTCTCAACATTCTATTATTTGTGTGAGCTATTACATTAAGAAGTATCTAAAACCGTGAAAGTAATAAAAATAAAAGGAGATGTTTTTTTTTTGTAAATATAAGCACATACATCACAACAATGATGTCTCTCCAATTGAAATCTTAACATTTCGATTTGAGCTAGATAATGGAACAATCGAGAAGACATCAGAAATAAGAACAGCACTGGCTATGAGAGAAGATTAAAAATATTTCTTCTCGATAAATTTTCCTATTAACTTACTGTACTTTGATCCAAATCCTCTAAGTATGATCTTTGAGATAATACTGAAGCGAATAAAGGAATAATTTGAGCATCAACAGCAGCCTATTTGGTAACATCATCGTAGAAAATCACAATATTGAATACTAAGAAAAAAAACATTAGCTTTGCTCTGAACTCACAAAGCACAATTTCGACGATGCTCTCATGTAACAACATAGACCAGTCAAAGCAGATGTGATCGATAGCCATGTTTCGGAACTTTGACAAGGATTTGTATTCTTAAGTGTTAGAATAGCCAAACAAAGCCCTATTTCATATCCTTGTAAAAATTTAATGAAAAGCGATAGCGATACCGACTAGCGTAATTCTTCTTGATCAGTTTTGTTATCACAATGGACAATAGATCTGGTGATAATCGAACTAAATGGTAAACATTTTCAATATATCCTAACGGCTGTGCAAAATATTGCAGAGGATAATTATTTTGCAGTAAACTCTCAATTTCTTGTAAGACTGCATCAAACTGTAAAGAAAAAATAATTATCATCAATGAGTTCTTTCAACTGTTAATCGGGAAAACCTGAAGTAAATGTGATTTAATTCTAGTATGGTTGAGTTCAAATTGCATATCCGGCTAAACAAAAACGCAAACAAAGCTTTATTCGGGAGAGAACATAGCCGTCGTGTGTCCTGTCTACCTCATTCACAAGTGATTTCATGTCTAAAAGAGAGCCAAAACGTTTTCAATAATATATCATCCATCTCATATATATAAAGACTCACCTTTGTTTCCAGCTCTTTTGAACGAAAAATATAGAATAATTGCACACGATAATATTGTCATTAGAACAATTGAAGAAAATTGAATGATAATCAATTCAGATCTATATTTTTCCATGATAACACTTAATCCATTGTTTACTATGCTTGACAGGTTGTATGACACTCCATTGAATATTATGGCTGAGTTCCCATTGCCTGGTATATTAACATTACCACCGAGTTGAAGTGTTGTGCATCTGGGACCCATACTTGAAATTCTTTTTTTTCTTCGGATATCAAAAGGAACGCAAAGGATAGGCTTGGTGCACAAAATATCTTATCTAAAATCGGATTAATACAATAAAGATGTTAAAAATCGTACAAAACCATTGATATTTGTTTAAGTAAATTCAAAAGTATGCATTTTTCTCGCCATTATTTGGCTTTGAGGCGCACTTATGCAAGTTTGATATGATCTATTACTCTTGTGAACGGAAACAGTCAACACTCCGAAAGGGCAAACTAAACAATAGATGAGCAGATCTTACATAATTTTATTCGAATAATTGTTGAAGGCTGTTACATGTATGTATAACTCCGTCTTTCCACGAAAGACTTTTATGAAAAAAAACAATTATACTATCCACAAACACAATTGGACAGCATTCTGAATTTTAAAAAATCAACTATTGACGTAAACTTCAAGATATGTCACGGTGCGATATAAATTGGATGAGTTTTGATATGCTTTTGATTGAGCAAATGAGATACAGATACATACAGAATTGAGTAAGCCGGCTAAAAAACAAATTTGAATTCGCAACAGTTGATCATTTGCACAATTGAGATGCTCGGCTCTAAAGTCATAAAATCGTTTCCTATCGGGATATTCATTTTTGGGTGCGCTCCCTAACTAGTCTGTCCGAAAAAGGCAATCTAAGCGCAAACTCGAAGTGAATGAACAAATTGTTGAATTGAAATAATGTGTCATATGAGAGAAGCTCAATAAAAAAAACGAAATCTCTTTTGTTTGATTTCATCGGAGTGTATTTGATATTAATAAGAAAAATAAATAGAAAATGAAACAGATTGTGTCAATTTCGTTTATTTACAACTAAAATTATTTTACTATTGTCACATTTGAAACAATCAAAACATCTTCAGATTTTAGTTTCACGAACTTTCACTGATTGACGAAAAGTTATTGTTTTGCGATTCGATCGTTTTAATTATAATTAATTGAAAAGAATCATTTTTACTCAGGACATGAGGTTGAAGCCAGAGCTGGGCAACTCAACTCAAAAAGACAGCCAATTCAATTCAATTCGACAATTCAGGAAAATGTTGTCGATTCGATTCAATACAACTTATCAACTCAGATAACTGCTTCTACTAAATTCATTTCAACTCAGAAACTGAATTGAGCTGAGTTGAGTTGCCCAGTCCTGGTTCAACCTTTATCGCAATAATTTCATTAAACATCAAGTAAAATTATATCACAAAGTTTTCTCTGCTTAAATCTTTCATTTGATTTTGTCGATAAAATATTATGAAATCAAATATTTCAACATTAAATATATTGATCAGTGACTTTCAAAACAATTCTTCCGTTTTGAATAAAATGATATCGACTGCTCGAGCGGAAAGCGCTGCTTTCAGCTAGAATCATTCTGATAATTTCTCTAATGTAAAATTTCAAGAAGAGAGACAGATTCAATATTTTTAAAGATTCCACATTATAATATATATCAAATCAGTATTCTTTTCGCACACTTTTGTTCCATGTATTTTTCTACAACAGCTGTTTTTATACTTTTGCGACTGAAACAGATAAAAGAAAACCTTTCGAATAATATTCTACAGATGAATACGATGAACATCCCTTTCACATAATAAAACACATGTCAATTGTTTTCAGCGATGAAGAGTTCACAACAGACTGATCTCGATTGGATATTTCATTATTTGATGAGATTTCTATTCTCGCTCAAGTTGGCATGAGCACTTTCTATTCTTCTACTTTTGTTTTTCACTAAGAAAAACGTATATTGAACTTTGATTTATCGCATATAAACTACGTTACTTCAAGTTTTGCGAACTATATGATTTCTTTAAAACGATTTCTTACGAATATTATTTCTTTTCTTCATTTCTTCGTGAATATCAGAACAATACAGCCAACAATTAATGGTTGGGCAGATATTTCATTTCTCGGATTTTCTTTCATTCAAACGAATTAGTTCCTGTTGCATCTACATCATATTACTCAAATCTTCTGCAACGTAAATCCTTCGTTTCTTCTAGATTTTGGCCAAAAATATGAAATAAATGAAATACGCGCCGTTGTAAGAGAAAACGATGAATTTGAATTGAAAAGTCTCTCGTTGACACGTTTTTTATCTGTGGAAATGGCTAATAATCAAAATCTTTCTTCGAAACTATGTTCTAAGCAGATTACATGTCAGTTTCAAACTCTGTTCGATAGAAAGTTCTCAAAATTGTAGCTGAGCGTGGGTATTCATAAGAAGAATTGAAACTCAGCTATAGATATATGTACTATGATCGTTTGGTTCCGCGTATCCTTTTTGTCTTCGAAAAAAGAAGAATATTTCCTAATACTTGACAGTGATTGAGTTGCACGATGACGCGAAGTTATTTCTGCCATTTCAAAGTTCATTGTGGATTGAAAATTTTAGCGATAATGAAAATGATACCTAAATAATTAGCTGTTGTATATAAAATAATATCATAAAACTCCAGTTTGTATCTTTACTTATGCTACGAATTCGAAGCCACTTTTCACGATACATGTAATAAAATGTCGATTTTCTTATACATCTGCAACAGTTTGATTTATTTATGATGCAAATATAAAAACACAAAAATCGAAGAACATCCACTTTCGATTTCGATCTTTATAAGGAAATCATAATTATGTCATTAGTAAAGATTATTACGTTCGCGGTCGCAAATTTTCTTCGGTGTTTCAAATTTAAGCATTGGATGCTATTATTTCCGACGCTTGAAACAGGAGTAACCGATACAAAATAGGAGTAAGATACATAAACCAAAGAGAAACAGAGCATCCATCAAAGAAGTTGAATGAAATATTCGACAGCTATTATCTGTGTTTCGTGGGGTTGATTTAAAATAAACGGTGTTGTTATTGCCAACGATTGAAATGCTGTTATCAGAACAATTTAAAAACATATTGAAGACAGTTAGCCTATACTCTGGCTGTCAATTGTATTCTCAGCTTATTCTTATTGGTGTTTTTGGGTGTATATTGTTTCACAATGACGACTTTGTCTATCTCATTGACTTTTCTTCTGATAGCCATCGCTTGACCTTTCTTTTCTTCGTTCACATTGGTTGACCGTTTCGCAGCTTCTTTCCTATTCATTTTCTCTTCTTCTAACTCAATTCTCTGACCGATCAATTGTGACCTATGTCATTCGATAAATAACAAAAAGAAAAAGATATCTAAGAAGTCTTTTTGGTGACTTTTTGGAAATGATAGTTCAATGTATGAACAATTGATCAATCTTGATTTTTATATACGCATATACCTCTTCTACAAGTCATGATAACTGACAAAAGTACTGAGGTAGCATGTTTTGAAATGATCGTTTATATGATAAAATTCTTAATTTAGATCACACAATGAGAAATATTTTTAAGCAACACGTTTTAGATAACACGAGAATCGTTATTATCTATATTTTCAAAGATGAAATATTATTGAATACGCAGAGTGAGTTATGACAATTGACCATGAGTATACCTCGCACGAGATTCATGACGAGAAAAGTGTTTTTCAAAGCATATGAAATCATAATTACAATGGTTAATGTGGCGAAGAGAAAAGGTAAAGATACAATAGTGTGTTGATAGTTTAGTAAAACAATGAAAATCATGACGAATCGGCAAGAAAAATGTAACAAACGCAAAAAATGTTCAGTATTGAGTTTGACGAAACATATCATATGTTTCGACTTTCATTTTGAAGAGCTCGGCCAAAAGATACAATTTTCATTGCGTCGTCTAGCATCACTTTTGAGAAATCATGTTGTCGATATGATCCAATTGAAGATATTTTACGTCGGACAATACAGTAGATAAATAAGAAAGAGATCATCAATATTGTTATACATACAAGATAGAGAAGCCTAGAAAAAAACAGAACAGAGATTGGAAATCTGATCATTGAATTAATTCAAAATAGAATATATGACAAAAAAAACCATCACAAACTCGATCTATATGCTTACTGTACGTAGCATCGTCACCACTATGGAAATGTGCGAAGAATATTAAATTGCTGTGTACCGCTTAGTTCCTGACGCAAATGCAACAAGCTCACGATATAAATTTTAGAAAACCTCATAGCTGTTAAAAATAACTAATGTTGGAGTCACTATTATCCAGTCTATTTTCAACCAGATAGGATTTAGCATCAAATGGTTAAAAGTTTAGAATTTTACTTCATTGAACTTCGACTCGAAATACGATCTAGATATTATAAACGATTCGTACTACATTTATTATTTACTGTGTTGTCTGCTTACATTCATCGATCAATGATGGCTTAAATCTATTAATGCAGAAACACATCTGAAAGGGGTGAGTATGCGCTCAAAAAACATCTCACAAATTTATATATAATCTATTGGTCGATTTTTTCACTGACAACGCTTTTACCAGTGAAGTTCGATATATTTAGCGAGAAGAAGTTGTCTCGTCACTGAAACTGCCGTTCTCCATCTATTTTTTTTACCAATTCTCAACAATGTGTGACACTTTGTTTTTCTCTTTACGCATAGCTATTTCTGATGTAAATTATTCTCACGTATCATTTGTGAGATCAATTCACACACTGTTGAATTCCACATAGATTTGTGATTAAATGTTTGATGCGTCTAAAAGGCAACCGCAATGGTTCAATTTCCACAAAGGATCGGTTTCAAAAACAAAGCAATGAGCAATGCATACCAATTTTCTTGCATATGGCTTAGCCATTTTGCAGGAGCAAGTACTACACTAGTACCGCCCTCCAATATTTTACCGACTTGATCGCCAGCTCTGCGTAGCAATGTTTCCTGTTCTTTGATATCTTCAGTTACAGGCAAAAAGACTTTATTGTTGGAGCCAGTAATTGAAGGATTCGTTTCATGACCGCCTATATTCCATTTCATAAATTGTCGTTTAACCAGTGAACGACGTATGGTTTCATTCGACATAGCAGATGTCATTGCGACGTGAGAAAGAGAGGCAAGGGAAATGGTGAGTATTGAGAATGGCTTGCGAGAAGTGTAAACGATGTACTGAACATCGACTGTCTATTTATAGGTGAGCATCGAACACTTATAATCTAATTAGACTAAATGTTTTCGATTAGAATGAGTACAAAGAGTTCTCATGATCAATGAGTTTACCTATCGACTCTTCTTTGATTCCCGTCTGTATCTCTGTTTCATGAACTGTTAATCGTAGTGTGACAGTATTGATCGCTGGCATTGATACATCGTTTTACTTTGTTCTATTGATATGAGGTTTCTGCCACCGCGCTGTCGTCAACTATTTGTCAGATAATAACGAATTGACATGTTCAAAGGACATAAATTCGCTGAAAAGCTCATTCTTTGATATAGATAACTGATCATTGTCTAATGATTGAAGATTAGTGAACACTCTAATGAGATCATGAGGAGGTATAAATACAGACGTTTTTCTCGTCGCGATGATACTCGGCGTCTCTATTGATTACCATCGTTTCTGCGAGAGTGCATATTTGCTGTCTTTATACACTGGTGGTAAAGATTTATTCTTTTTTGTTGTCAATATGATTCCAATTATATCTGTTTAGAACGTCTACGCTTTCGTTCTTGTCATCCTTAAACTAACGAAGTATTCGAATAAATGTAAGTCACTGATCCGTTGTGGATATCGAACCGTTGCTGGTATTGTTGACAATTCTCCAAGAGAAAACTTCTTTGAGAGCGTAACGAAAATATTGGTCTAATATTAGGATTAAAAGTATCATCTGAATTTCCAAGATGACGAGATGAGTTTTTCTAAGGAAAAAATCCGAAGTTGATTTGCCTAGTAATTCAATATAGTTGTGTCGATGAATCTCTATATTTAATATTTGTGAAGGCAAATCTTTCTCAATTAAGCAGTACCATGGAATTCTTGTTGTCGTCTGTAAAGAGATGAACTTAATATATTGACAGATGAGTCGGAGCTCCAAAGTTGTTATTTATTGATTATTCTATTTGATAGCATGGAACATCGATTAGTGTTGAATAACCGATCGGAGTCGGACATTCCGGATCGCGTTTTATGTGGGCAACTACAACAACAGTTGAAGTACTATAAGTTTCGTCGCGTGCATGCGAAAGATGGAAAGGATATTTATTACCTATTCTTCAAAAGAGAAGAAGAAACATATTATGCATTGCAAGCAGGGAAATCCATCAAAAATATTTCTCTCGTGCGATATCGCCATCGCAATATGACTGCTGCACCTGTATGTCGTCCTGATGAAATTTTACCAAATGAAGCACAGTATCAACCTGTTCCTTCACGTCGTACTGTTGATATTATACGATACAATTTCAGTAGATATATCGATCGATTTTCCAATAAAGTAAGAGCACAGTATAGTTAACGCTTCAGATTATAACTTTTCCCATTTAGGATGTCTTTAAATTATGCATTAAACGTTTATCAGAACAGGTAGTCGTCCAACGAATGAATATGTACGAAAGTATGTTATTCTAGCTAATTGATTCTAGATTACATTTTCTTGAATTGTTCTAGTACAGACAAGAAATTGCAAAGTTAACCATTGGTGGTGGTTAAATCCACAATATACTGTCAATAATCATCAAAACATACAGAAGATTATGGACATCTTTTTTACGTGACATTTGTTTACCGTATTTATGTTAAGCATGCCATTTTTTGTATTTAATGCATGTACAATAATCAATTGTCTATGCTCATTACTTTTATTGATATGTGTTACTCAATCTAATCGTGAGAGTGATTTGTCATTTTAACTTCATCTTTGTGAAACACTGTATGATGTGAAAAAACATTCATCTGAAAGTATTCGTATACAATATTAAAGCAACTTTTTAACAGAAATCTAGATGTAAATGCACTCTGGTCGCTCGACAGCTTTACATCCGTGGGTGAGACTAACCAGAGTAGAACATTAGCGATAAATGATGCGTATTTAACATCATTGTCAATGGCGATGCTTAAGTGTGGCTGATGACTTTCACGTAATTCTCATATAAACGTTAATCATTTAAGCAGGAGAGCGAAAGAATGAAAAAGATAGCGAAAAAAGAAAACGATAAAAACAGATGGTATCACTCAATTGAAGTGTCAGTGAGATGAATTGATTTGAATGGCTGACAAAAGCTTGCACTTAACAAAGAAAGATAGAAAATGAAATGATCAAAACATGAGAGAAATCATTAGATATTTTCATTTGAAGTAAAAATCAAATTGGACGCAATGCGTTTTTAATTTCTCGGATACACAGCAATTGAGTGAGGCAAGATAAAATGTTCAATTTTTGTCATATGGACAAGTGTTCTCAAGCACGAGGTATGGTAAGATTTGCTGTTAGGAAAAATTGAGTGAGGCATCCGAATTTAAAATTTTCTTTGATGCTAGTGAAGCCTAAACGAAAGTCGATCAACAACAGTAAGATTCTTAATTTTGAAAGAAGAATCCCGTTTGGTGTCTTCTGACTTATGTGCTGTCTTAACTTAACTGGCGAGGATATCAATTACTCCAGTACTAAGTATGTGGATATGAAGACTACGGGATAACGAAGATAAGCGTCAGAGTGCAGTCATCTAGGTTATGATGAAAATTACCTTGCATTTTCAATTAAAAAGCCTTTCAGCGCAGATCCGTTGAATTTAATATCTAGAAATCACATATGATGACAGAAAGTGAGCAAAAATTTCTGACTAAGTTGTATTTTCTTTATATAGATGCCAAAAAATGATTCTTAATCAATTAAACTAAATAGCCAATAATGCAATGCGGTATGAATTTATTTCGTTTCTCTTTCATCTATCCGAATTTGTATTGTTTAGTATCGTGCATTACCACAACACATCTTCATGAATCCATTTCATTTCTTCCAACGTTTTGCAATCACCAACACTTACTATTCAAATTCAATCAAAACGTCTCGCACCGCAATTCTTCTTTGATTCTCTTTACAATTTATCACTGAACAAGTATGTTTACAAACATTCAGTTTTTCCTTTAACTACTCTTATTCAATATATGACATCCACCTGACACGTCTTCCGAAAAGATTGTATAAACAGTACCATTAAATCGATTGTTTTATAAAACCGAACAGCTTCTACTTTAAGTGTATTAGCAACTAATCAAAATGATATACTTTTATCGGATATTCATATCCGCTTTTTTCACCATTGGTATCATTGAAATATTGCATTGATAATTGTTTATTTAACCAATTCAAAGCAATCTTTGAAAGTAAGTACAAGTGGTTTCTATTTGAAAAAAAGCAAATTTTCTTTCTATGTTGAGAGCAATTCTATGAGCGAATATATGATTGCCAATAATGGCAATTATTTTTCTTCCGAAATAACAAATAATAATAATAATACAAGAACTGAAAGATAGAAATAGCGAACAATGTGCGACTTCTTTTCCTTCCGTTGAAAACAATATTTTTTTCCGATAGAAATTGGCTTGAACTCCCTGCAACTACCCAATTACTTTTAAGGCTTTTATTATAATTCAATTTGATCACCGTTTGAATGCATTGATCTCGCTTAGAAGAATCCCTTGATTCTAGTTGATTTACGTGTTGCAAGTCGTGACTATGAAGCCATTTCTTCAACGTATCATTTTTCTCAAAAGACACTGGAAATTTGACTTAAACAGTTAATCCTGAAGAAGCATCTGTAGAGAAATTTTCAATGCAAAATCTTTCACTGAATTGAAGTAATATTCTTAGTAATCTTGGTCAATCATTATTTCCATTTATAAACTATCAAAAATAATTCAAATAATTTCTTAATCAAACGAAAAAACAAATCAATCTGGTCGGTTACGAAAAGAGATTCTCCAGATATTCGAGTCATTGTAATTTTTACAATTGGTTAACAAGTTCGTGCAGTTGGTGAGACAATCAGTGCAAGTTCGGAAATAAAATTTTAAATGAAGCTTATCAAAGATTTCCGCAAATAGATTCAAATTATTCCAATTATGCTCTCTATTGAATTCAACATGATCAAGAATTATATAAGTCAACGAAACAAATTGTCGTCGCTTACCTTATATTTGACAGCTATCAAATTCATCAGTTATCTTTAAAATATTGGTTGATTTCTTCCATAAGCTAATAATTCTTATATACATATTTTATCAATTGTCAATTCAATGTTTCATATTTGGCACAAAACATTCATCATTTCACTTTTTCAGTTAAGACATCTCTGTATTTTTAATCCATGTCAATGAAAAAGCTGTATCGATGGTTTCCCAACTGAGCAAATGAGTTTGCAGTGTATATACTATTTTTGCTGTATTTCGAATTGTACATGCTAGTACTTAAAGTTCTTCCTTTTAATCTAATAATAGCGAGGGACGCTAGATGAAAACGTTTCTAACGAGTTTCATTCTGTAATATCGTTGCATTTCAGATAATCTTTACACATACAAACAATTCACTTTCCAAATCTCAATTTTAAATACAAATAAGTAAGCGAATATGCAGCGTAGCGTAATATTTTTTAACTGAATATTCATTCAATTTTAGATAATAATGGCGGAACCTAAAAATAAACTCGTTAAAGTTATCGTAGATGCAGGATACCACTTATTGAATTATCTTGGCGGAGTAGACGCTACAAATTATCTTGAAATTGTACGGACAGATCTTCAAATTTGTTCATTAGCAATTGTATCTGACCATGAGTTCTTTGAGATTCTCAAGACATTTAACCATGATCAACCATTTACTGTTCCTGAAGAAATGTATCAGTGTTACTTGCATGAGAATAACATCATTGATTTTCGATTAGTACCGGTTCATCCGTGTGATCTGTTATTGAAACAACCAATACAACGTCTTTACGTACATTCATCTTTCACCGCCGAAGCATTTGAAAAGTTATCGAAAACCTATCGAACATCAATTTTTCAATGCTATTCACGTTTACTCTCTTTCAATACTGATTTTTATTCGGCTAATTATGGACTTCTGGATTATGAACTATACGCTGAAACTGTAGGCTCCAATAGAGATTTAAATGATTACGAAAAGAGATTTTTCAAACGTAAGTAATATAAAGTGTTCTCTCTGTCGTGAAAGTTGATTCATAGGAAAACCGTTGAAATTAATAGTGCTTAGCAAAATGATTTGCTTTTTAGAACAGTTACTCTGTTCTATGCATTTTTATTAGCGACACTTTCAGACGATTTGCTGAGCAATCATCTAAAACATATATTTTTATATAGGTAGCACATTCTTTCAAGTGCACAACAATCCACAGAACTCAATTGAATTCGTTAAAACTCTCAATGAGTTTCTTACAAATTTTACTGATCGTTTTCTGTCTGTTTATTGGATCGAAGCTATTGATTTTTCGAAATTCATCATTACGGGAGGTTCTGTGATCAACTCATTGTGTCAAGTATCATTTTCCGATACTCATGAGCAGGATATTAACTTAATTTATCCGTCAGCAAGTCCAACTGAATTCACAGAAGCAGTCATGCAATGCATTGACAATTTGCGAAACAACACATTACAGTACTCGAAGTGCCAAATAATTGTCGAAGAAATACCTATGTTACGTCGATATGACATCCATCTGCCTTGTGGCATCAAGCTTAATTTTTCATACATCTCTTCTATGGAGGATGGTAATAATTCACTTTGTCACATTCTTAACGGTTTTGATATTGACATCTGTCAAGTTGCATATACAGGTAACTGTTGATGAATCGCGAGAAAAACAGTGAAGACATCAGTTTTGAAATTGAATGAGCATGCTATAAACGTTTTCGAAAAATCTGAAGTAATTGGATTCTCACTCGATTTCTCTGTTGGTGATTAATAATCGAAGAAATCGTGTCAAATTATTCCGATTTTTAGAAAACCACTTGAAATTCATTGAAGTATTTTGATTTTGTTTAGAAACCTCAGATCAAATTTTGAGATTTGAAGTCTGCTGTTTCTCTCCATGTCTCACCTTTTTATAAACTATAAGTTATCTATTGTTTATTATAGGAAAACAAATTATTTGTACCTTTGCGTTTTTGCAAGCTATAGCAACGAAGTCTTTTGTTGTTTATAGCTTGCATGGCGCAATTAGAAAGGATGTTTGTATACGGATTGATAAGTATAACAAACGAGGATTCTCTTTACTCGAACCCAGAAACTTCGACGGAAACTTCACTCATTTGATCAATCAAACTCTTACGCCACTGTATCGTATTGAACACCAAGAAATTATTAATGATGACGGAGAGGTACAGTACGCAACTGTGGAATATTGCCGACGACCTGCAAGAAATATTGACACTTTCGAAATACAAGAGGCTTTCATTTCTGCTTTCTGTCGGCAAAGTTCAGATTGAAAGTATTTATCTATAGAAATCAATACGATCTTGTCATATTATAATAAATTACGTTTTGAAATAATAATTTGAGTTTGTTGCTTTGTATTAGATGCATGCTACATTGAATTGAATTGAATCTTGACTACTTGTTGAAATGTAGATATCGATTGTTAAAATATACATATTTCCTTTTCGTTTTCTTATATCGTATTTCGCGTTTACAGCTGAATTGAATTCTTTACGAATTACATTCATCACATGTTTTATGTAAAGTTGCTTTACCTTTGGATTCAAAAGATTTGAAAGTTAATCAATAATATCACGATAAAAACATTGTTTGCTTGTTATAGATCTCTAAATCGTATCGATTACAAACTTATTTGGTTTACTTCTTCCTTAGCTATCATGTCATCATCGACTCGTAAGTATTAAGGAAAAAAAAGAGTTCATTTGACATGTTTTTATATTATCTTTTGTTCAGATGCAAGCACACCAATTAACGCAACTGATGATTCACGACCATTGGAATCACCTGTTAAACATAAAGTAATTTGCAATATGTGTGACATCATATATATATATATGTCGAAATATGATAGGAACAATCATCGTGTGCTACGAACATAGGGAAAACAGCAGGTCTTGATGTGAAGTTTGTCAAAGCAAGTGAATTTGCTTCTTCTGCGGAAAAAAGTGCAAAGATTGAACAAAATGAAATAACAGACGAAGAATTGCTTCAAATGGCGGTTATGTTTGAAAATAAGCACTTAGAATTTCTTTCCAACGTTAAAAGTGAATGAGATATGTCGCAAACGTGAATATTTCTTTCTCATTGAATGGTTTTTTTGTGTGAAATAATCGTTTTCTGTCACCTTGTAGGCAAGCATATAATTAACACTTATTAAAGATTGATGTTGTCTTTTTATCATGTAGGATTTCTCACATATATTCACATTGTTTGTTCTCCTTAATTTCAGATCATCGCTTCTACAATCATACTTGATTTATTGACTGGGAAGTATTAGAGTCAATATTGTTGAATTCAAATAGTTGATAAACGTGTGATCCAAATGCTCTACGTAGGACGATTACATGAATTCAATGAGTAGATTGAACATGACATTTTTTTGACATTAGAAAATTGGAGAGCAGCAGCTAAGACTATACTTGCTAATAGTGATCAACGTAAACAATATAAAGCTGATAAACAAATCAATGATAAATATGGTGTATTATAACCATTTATCCTTCTGGTCCAATTTCTTTACTTTCTTCACCTTTATTTTGTAGATTTGGAAAATTACGCAATGATTCAATATTTGCGTTCAGTTGATGATCTTGAATTATCCGTCATACATTTTCATTTAGTGTAGAAATTGAACAACAATTCACCAATCAAAAAATATTAACGAATGGCACCATTCAATATCATCTACTGAGACAAGATTCATTTAACGAAAGGATGATTTGTATAGTGGTTTGCTCATGTTGTTAAGTAACCGAAGAAGAATTTGTATTTGACCGAGAAGAACGCTAATAACGATACTTGACCATAAGTTACGACTACACCCATATGGCTCATGAACATGTACCAGTCAAATGTGCTGTTGTGACCCTGCAACTTAAACATAAAGATTAATTTTTTGTAATTGTGATTAAAAAGAGAGAAATGATCTTGTTGGAAGCAGCGTTTGAAAGAAAAAGTAATATATGAGACGAGCTAATGATAGAATTACAAGATGATTTGGATTAGTTGAGCCACTACTATGATGTAATTCGAATGCACAGATCATTAGAATCTATGCGGTAACTTGAAATAGTACTGCTATGAGAGAGACATTCCATTGCATTAAAGATAGATACCGAGATTATCTAGTGAAGTTTTCAATCATAGCTCCAATAATGAAAATAATCTGATGAAGTGAATTAATAAAATATTGTGCAAAACGTCTCGCTTTCGAAACAGCTGGAAGATGATAATGATCGCCTTGATTCGCTTCATTCCACACTAATATAATCACGTCCTGATAGGAAATGTGACATGCAATGAGTTGTGCTATCGATCATTTGATAAGAAATTGGATATCCATGCGACCATCTGATAGTGAATAAATCTCATTTTTTTTCAAATGGATATTTAAACAAAGATTCGAAGATGTAAAACCTAGAAAGTATCATCAATCATCGTATCTGATAATTACTAACTGAATGAAGCTGTACGATGAAAACAATAGAGTTTCATGGTGATTTTTTGTATTCGATCCTACGCACAGTCACTGATGTTGTCGTTTATTTCATCTTCAATTATGAAAACAAAGATCTTCCAATTTCGTGATAAACAAGAAAGGTAGTATTACTGGACTGTTATCCTTCTATATTGATGATGAGATTACCTAGGTTACTATTTTTGATGAATGATCAATTTTAAATATAGCCAATAATATGCACACTTTCATTTCGTAATAATATTAGGCAGAGCCATGCAGAAGTCATATCTTCGAACATGATTGGATAGTGAATGACGTTTATAGTACAACGAAAAAAAGCTATTGAGAATCAGAACAATCGAATTTCCAACTCAAATCCTTCCAAAATAATGTCATGTTTCATAATTCTCATTATAATATCAGATTTATGTGTTTCTGCATAAAGTCGTACAGAACAATGAAAATTTGCTTCTCAGGCTGCTAATTCGAGATCATACCATTGAGATTTGCGAAGACTATAAGCGTAAATGAAATGATTTTAGAGTTTTTAGCAGCAACTTAAAAAAACAATTTTGTGATGAATATCTCAATGCATTACGAGTCACTAAATCAAGCGTTTGTGTATGTATATAAAATGGCACTGTATTTCTAGCATCAATTGAAAGAAGAAAACTTTTAATAAACAATTGGTTGGATCTGTTTATGGTACTGCAATAGAGTTATTAAAATAATTGCTAGGAACAGTACAGTATAGATAAAAGCGGACACTCAGCTTTCCCATCGTTTGTAATCATTTTACCGTAGTCGGTATCCGGGTTGCTACTTTTACGAAAGAATATGACTGAAATCAATATAATTTTCTATCCTAAACTATTCATTTACAAGCGAGTTGTTTAACAAAATTTCATTGATATTTATTGTTTCTAGATTAACTTAACAGCTGATCGTTTTCTTCTTTGCTTTTCATCACTCCCATATACGTATATAATATATACTCTGATACATAGATGAATTACTGTCGTCTGGAATATTTATTGGCTAACAGAAAAGACGAAAACTGTGGTACGACCCAGTACAGTATCAAAGCCAGAGGTAAATATTTTCCACATTAACGAATACGCTGTTGTACCACTATTTTCGTGCACAGGGAAGGTCACCACAGTCCACCATCTGTGCTCTGATATTTGGCAAAGAATCTCCGAGTATTTTGAAGTTAAAGAGTTGTTCAACATATTTGCACATATCACTTCTGAAGCTGATCAAATTTTATTTGGTACAAGTAATCATTATCAACTACGTGGACTGATAATGGATAATAATGTAACGGACCTACCACCAACATTGAATTTGATTTGTATAGTTTCTCTCACCCTCTACGATACATGCTGTTTCGAAATTATTCAGCAGTGTATGGAAATCCGATCATTAAAATTAATTGGCGAAGCTAAATGGATCACATCCATAATCAGACAAATCTCTCAGACATTCTACAAATTGGAGCAGCTTGCTATTATGATCTCTGGAATTGGATCTCTCTTAGAAGTGCTGATATTTGTTGTATCGATTACTTCATTACGTCGATTAGAGATTTGTGCTGATCATTTTATGGAACATCAGAACGATTTTAGCCCGGTAATGGCATCGAGCAATTTGGAACAGTTTATTATTAACTCATGCAATATGATTGATTGGAATGACTTCTCATATGTACTTCCTTGTTTTGTTGATCTTCATTTACTAAGCGTCAGTCTGCTTGATGATCAACAAAAATCAATTCCTTCATTTAACTTTCAAAATTTACGTAGTCTTAATATTGGATTGCGTGAAATATCATTTAATTGGATTGTTCAACTCGTGGCAACAATGCCTAATCTTGCAAAACTCAAATTGAATGGACTTGTAAATGAAGATGGCTTCGTTATTAATCAGAGATGGGCCTATCTATTGAAGTCTACATCGAGTATTACCCACATATTTGTCAATGTCTTTTTGCAGCAAGACACATGCTCCTACTTTTCTGAAGCGATCAAAGAAAAATTAAGTGCTTTTTGTTTAAATCTGACGAGTAGCGATGACGATATGGATTGCAGTATAGCTGACGAAAACGTAAATCGATGGTGGAATTTGAAAGGAACAATTATTAAGCAAGGACTTACTGTTTGATACGTAACAAAACATTAACTAAGCATAAAATTATTGTAAATTTGATTGATTTTACATTAAGTATAATATCTTCGATTCGTGAAAGATCTTTAACTGTGCATGGTTTTCATAATTCTCTAATTTAAACTTATAAAACGATTGTTCCAACGAATGTTTGATTTTTAGTTTCTTATAAATTATCAATTCTTTCATATCTTTCACAAATTCGTTTCTTCTAGATCGTTTGCGTTTACAGAACACATCACAAATATTGAAATCAACGACATTCACATACAATACAAAAATATTTCAATAGTTTAAAGAGAGTCATTGTTCGTTTCTTTTTGTTCAACAGTGATAGTTTTCCAAGTTTAGTTTACGAATAAGAGTTCGAAAATATCGTTATATATACACAATTATAGTACATAGCTCTCAAAAGATACACGTGTATAAATATATTGATTACGATAGGTTTTAAAATTTTGTCTCTAATAATCGCATTTGTCATATCTGTCGCACCTTAAACAACTGATACTCTATACTAGTGTGTAGAATTTGTCCAGACTTCTACGTAAACAACATAATTCTTTCTATAAGTAGCTTTAAAAGACCAAAGGTTATTTTTTCGGATATTTGTTTGTAGGATGACTACATATAATTGTTGTTTATTTTGTGGTAATCATGCGACAGATTCCTGCTGCCTACACTGCCGTCAGATGAGTCGAGGTGCCATGTTTGGCGCTCTTTTGACGCTCTTAGACAACGCAGCAAAAATCAATGATTACTATAATCAAATCAAGGTTATCTCGCAGAAAATCCTGAATGTAAGTGTAATAATTAATTATTCGAAACTAAATTCTCTTATATCAACGCAGCTTGAATGGCTCCTGACACCAATTCAATTCACTCCCATTACATATTTCGATCCAACTGTTCATAGAATTGATGAACAAGCAAGGATATACCTTGAGAAGGGATGTCTAGGCATTCAAAATAAGGTACCGATTGAAGTTTTCGCAGATGGCAATTGTCTCTACCATTCGATTATCTGTCTCAATGGCGGAAGAGATCTAACAGTTAGCGAACTGAGAGGTATGCACATAGAACCAGAACCCTGTTCTCTATTTGTATTTTCTAGTACGAACACTACTTGAGCTTGTAAAAAATGATACGTTTTATCATAATCGGTTCCTATACGTTGTCGGATCGCTGCTTGACGCTGTCAAAAGTGTTGTTCATAATTCTTCATATTCTGAACTCTATGAAATTGCTGCATTATGTAATGTTCTAAAATGCAATATTCAGAGTGTATATCCGAAAATTCAACACAGATCAGAATTGGACATTATGAATAGCATATTTCAGTGCGATCAAAATAGCTCTGTGTCCAGAACGATTTTTATATTTTGGTCTAATACACAAAGTGAAATATACGCACGAAGTTGTAACGCTGGTCACTGGTCACCAAATCATTTTGTGCCACTGTTAGCTTTACCAGACGACAAGACACTCGAGAGTGGTTTTTCATCACCGGATAACGCTTTGTCAAATACCGTAAGTACAGCGCTATTTCTGGCCAGCTGAGTAGACAGATGCTTCAAATTTATAGACGCCAACCAAAGCGACAACGAAAAATAACTTATTGACTCCAGTGCGTATTCCACATTTCACTGACCATGAGAATAGAACGGAAATACTGTCAGCACTTTCCACAGACTCGATAGAGTCCAATCAAGATGCAGTACTTCATAAGATTAAGCGCACAGATTATCATGGAGACAATAGAAAAACCACTAAAGCCGACAGAGTTGAAAATCCACGAACAATAACTCGAGAAAAAAATCCAACAGAAGAAACGACTATGGTGCTTGAAAAAGTTGGACGGCAACGTGTGCTTGCTCGAGAAAGAAGTGCAGCTAGAAGAGCTGCATTATCACCCGCACAGATAGAACGGCAACGTACTCTTGACCGTGAGAGAAAAGTAGCTACTCGAGCTGCTATGGCACCTGAAGAGATCGAACATCAACGGGCACTTGCTCGAGAAAGAAGTATGAATAAACGTGCTGTTGCATCACCAGCAGAATCTGAAACACAACGTGCGTTAGCTCGTGAAAGAAGTTCGGCCAGAAGGGTAACCGTGGCGTCAGAAAGTGCTAAACAATTGGAAACATCTGGTGAAGAGCTAAATCGTGCACAAGAAAATGTTAATCGCAAGACAGCTGCGACACACGCAAAAACAGATAGTGTTGAAGTGGAGTGGCCAAAACCTGTGGATCTAGAGTGCAAGATAACCTGTTTGAAAAATTTCATTCAATCTATGTCAATGAATTCTCTGGAGGAAGGCATCTGCAGTATATGTAATATACGTTGCTACAAGCGAGACCTTCGATGTATCCCTTATAATAAAATTCCATCAATCGAATTGCTCAAAGCACATGATGATATTTACAATATAATCTGTGGCTTAGATCAATCGCAAGACTTACATTCAGCTGATCAGAACAGCATGGATTGCGGTTTAGAATTATCGACTGGTGAGGATCAGATATTATGCACTTTTTTGTATTTGAAGGTTATCTATTTTATTGCAGATCGGTTTAAACAATCTTCTGAAACAAAAGCATCATTTATTTGCGTGAATGGTATAGTTTTATATAGAAAAGGACTTCATCATAACTTTGATAGGAGAAAACGTTCCGTGGTTCATTGCGATATTTGTATGGAATGTTGGTCTTCCTTGACAAAAGAAAAGATACCCAAATTTTCAGTTGCGAACAAGGTGTGGGTTGGTGATGTACCACCGGAACTTCAAGGTTTAACAATTCCTGAACAGAGGCTGATTGCACTTTATCGTCATAACAGTTGCATTGTAAAGCTGCATTCGTCATTTCATTCGGCATCTACTGCACAAGCAGCATTAAAAGGCAATTGCATAAGCTTTCCTCAGGATGTCGTTAACATTGCAACTAGCCTACCACTCAAATTAGACGATTTATGTGATTCTTTAAAAATAATATTTGTCGGATCTCGTATTCCAAATAAAAATCAATTGAAAAGAATTCTAACTGTTCGAAAAACAAAAGTAGCAGCAGCGCTTCAATGGCTAAAAACAAACAATTCCTTGTATCGACATGTTACAATCAATAAATGCACAATCGAGAACTTACCAGATGACGATGTGCCAGAATGCTTATGGACAACTATGCAAATCTCAACTGAAGTTGACGCTGCCGGAAATGACAGAGCAGGTTATGTTCCCGACACTAATCCTGTTGAAACTGACTTAAATAATGATAAGACCATTCCACTGTTAACAAGGTAAAAGAACATTTTTTAATTTATTTCAGTACTATGAAATCTGCTATAGCGGCGTTTTGGATGTTAACGGTATCAATATTTCCTCTGATGATGTAACACAGCACATGTTGGAACGCGTGAAAGTACGAACACCAGAAGAACTATTTGACAGAGATTCAGAAGCAAGCGTTAGAAAAGATCCTGTCTATTTAATTCCACGCGGTAACAAACCGACAAATGAATATTACAACCCAAATCTTCTGATGGGTATCTTTCCTACACTTTTTCCATATGGATGTGGCGCCTTGGAAGATAACTCAAGATCTGTGAAAATCAATTTACGAGAACATATAAGATACTTGCT